CTGAGCAACCCCCTCCCCTCCCGCCTGGCCGGCTGCCGCGAGGCCTCCCAGCAGAAGGACTTAATTGCGTGTCAGAACGAAATCTCTTCTGATGAAGAACAATTCGGCGGCAGCTCCGACTAATCAAATTAGCAAAGTCTTTTTTGATTTTCAATTATCTCCTTCGCGGACACTTCACCGAGGCTCCCGCGACGGCTCTGACGGCGGCGCATTCAAACGAGGGTCCGGCCGCTCCCGCCCGGGACAGGGCCCCACGCCCTGGGCTCCAGGAGCCAGAGTCGGGGCTGCTCTGCACACACCGGGCCGCCGGGCACCCTCCCTCGAGGCTGTGATGCCCGCGCTGGGCGCTGACTGTGGAGGGAGGCAAGCTCTGCAGACGCTCAGACGCAAGCCCGGGGCCGCCTCGCCCAGGCCCCCCCATGTGCGCAGGGTCCGGGGCCTTCAGCCCACGCGGGACGGGCTCAGCCTCCCGTCTGGGCCCCACCAATCACGCCCCAGAGCAGAGCCGCCGGACGCTTGTCGCAAAAGACAAAAACCAAGTCCCTTCCGAAGGGCACAGACCTGCCCGGGGACTGGGTGGCAGCTTGCTGGCTGGAACCACACCGCACGCAGCCGTGAGCGCCCCTCCCCTCAGCAAAGACCTTCCCGCACAGGCCCAGCCGCTCCACACGCACATGCGTGAGCTCTACACGCACATGCGTGAGCCTGCGAGGCTGGTGTCGTGCGGACAGCTTTTGGGGGCCGTTTGCCTGAAGCCGTCCCCGTGGGCTGATACGCAGCTCCTCCGGTCTCCTTGCTGCCGGGACAGAGGGAACGGTGCTGCCACGGGTGGGGGGGCCTGGACATTCCCTGGGGGACACCAGGGCAGAGGGGGCGGAGGGGACAGGGAGCCCGGCCAGCCTCAGACTCACCCCGAAGTCGTCCTGGGGTTCAGAGGAGCGTGGGCCCCGGATGGCTCCTCGAGCGGCTGAAATGAACTCCTGACGGGCTCCAACCTCGGCCCGTGCTGGGGCCACGCGGGCGCCTTCTGAGTCACTCCATCTCTCCCTCACACGCACACATACACACGCATATGTGCACACACATGCACACGCATGCACATGCATGCGGACACATGCAC